CAGTTGTAACAAAGACCTTTGTCTCTGCGGACTTGCATCTCTACCCAAGTCAGCCGTTTGAAAGGAACCAGTGGGCCTGGGCCCAATACTCCTTCCTCCTTGTCTGGTGCTGTTGTCTTTTCTTGCTCCCTTCTTGCTTCTGGACCCCATGGTCGCTGCACCTTTCTTGCTAGACTGAACTTGTTCTCATACAATCTTGCTAGTGCTGCCGCATTGATGACGAAAGTGGGCTGCATCGCCTTCACTTTCAGTCGCAATTCTTCCTTTAGGCCGCCGACGAAGCTTCCCACCAGCACCTTCTCAGTCCATCCTTGGACTCTCACGGTCAGCCTTTCGAACTCCATCTGGTATTCTTTTACTGATCCCACCTGCCGCAGTTTTGCCAAGTTTTCATCAAGATCTTCGAACCCAGATGATCCAAAACGGACAGTCATGGCGTCCGTGAAGTCTGCCCAGGTTTGATGGGGGTGCCCCCTTCGGTACCATTGAAACCAGAGGATAGCTTCCCCTTCAAGATGCGCAAAAGCCAGAGCTACCCTATCCTGCCCCGGTGTTTCATGGTAATCGAAATACCTTTATGCTCTGAGAATCCAGGGGGTTGGGTCACCGCCTGAGAATATGGGGAAGTCGATTTTGGCTATTCGTGCTGTCGCCCCTGTTCTGCGACTGTTTTCATTGTTGTGCTCTTCGGGGCTTCCTCTGTCAATGTTTGTTGCCCCCTGTTCCAGTCGATGGAGGAGAGCAGTGAAGTTTTCCTTCATTTCTTTGAGATCTGAAGACATTCGATGGATCTCGACCTCCATCTGATCCACTTGGGTGTCTACTGATGTGTTTCTTGTGTTGGTCATGCTGGCTCTGATACCAAATTGTTAGGAACTTGCCTAACTCTTCGAGGGGCCAACCTCCTGAATTCTTGGAAGGAGAGGGGGAGAGAGAGAGAGAGAGAGGGAGAGAGAGAGAGAGAGTTTAATGCTGAAAGAGTCCTCCTCTATTCCTTTTCTGCTCTACTACTTATAGTGCTACAATCTTGACTGTTACAGCTGTTACAAGTGGATGGCAGTTATTACAAGTGGCTGGTTAGTTGAGCTGATGTGGCCTCCTCTTGTAAAACTGACTAACTGCCTTCTCTTGGTCTGTTCCAACAGTCTTGACAAAAGGTTATGTATTTCAGGGGTTTCCTCTCTTGTATACTTAGTCTTTGTCTTGTGAGAAAACAGGGAGACTTTGGGTGCATTTGGGGTTTAGGGTTTTCTGTGAGTGAGGTGTGAGTGCACAGCTCTGTATTCCTCTCCATTACAGACTACATAGTGGATTTCTGCTCCTCCTTCGCCCATGGACGTAGGCTATAAAAGCCTAACCACGTAAGTTTGTGTCTTTTTTTACAAATGTAAGTGTGTCCACTTTATTTGCTTCTCTTTATCTCTATTTTTTCTTTCAGTTTTGGGTGCCATTCGAATCTGTATTTCTGGGTTTTGCACAACAGCAACTATATGATTATAGTCATTTTTTAGAGCAAAAGCCTTACCCTCATCAATCTAAATGGTTCAATCAACAAATGAAAGGTTGGAAACTTGAACCCCTCCAAACATTCATCTCTATTGTCTAAACTCTAAAGAGGCACATAATCTTCTGATAAGACCATTTTGATGTTTTGAGGAATAAAAGAACAGATTTTTCTTCCAGTTGGTCAAGAGAATCAGTCTTCACTTCACTTGAGGAGTACAGCCCGAGATTTGTTTTGATTGGTCTCCTATGCATGGTTCTTTTAGGTTAACATTAAGTTTTCTTTCAATTTGTCCATTGTATGGTTTAATATAGTTCCATTTGATCTACATAATGCTCACTTTCAGTCCATTTCCTTATTAACTCAGCTTTAGCAAGCTTTATCCTTATTAATTCAAATTTACTTATTTTTGTGTATGAATAAGTATTATTAATTTCTGTATGGTCTTGATGTTTATGGTGATGACAAATTTTGTCTTTTTCTGCACCATATTATAGTAAGAAAAATGTGCAAGCTTCTGTCTCCTCAGCTGCATGTTTACTTTTCTTTTTCTATGATTAGGAATTGTGTTGATATTTAGTTTACTTTGGTTTTATGCAATTGGCTTGTCATCTTGGTTTTTTGATCTTCTTTTCTGAATTCTGAACAATTGATGGATCTTATAAATGTATTATGGTGCAAGTAATACCAGTTTAGCTAGGTGTGGTTGGATTTCTGACCTCTTCCAACCTTGTATCTTGAACACTGGGATACCTAGAATTTGGATATGAACAAGTATAGTCTACTTTGTTCTTTGTCTTAGGATGCATAAAAGGATTTTCAAAATAAAAACAAAAGTTTTCACTAGGTTTGTAGCTTTGTATACCTAGACAACTAGGTGGCAACTCCTTTCATACTGTCAATATGTTATACAAACACTAGGTGGATCATGGATCTCCTTTTCTCCCATAATGTTCCATCCACAAACTTACTTATTTCTACTGATCAACATGCAAATGACACGTATTGTCTGACAGTCTGATTGGTAGCTTTCTTTAACCATGAATCATGTGCAGAACTTTCTTTTGCTTCCTTGCTCAGGAACATCCACAAGGTAAACATCTATTCATTCATAAAATGAAATCTACTAACTTATTCCCTATAGCTAATCTAGATTTCTAATGCCTCAGGAAGATGGTAAAGATAGATGGCAGCATCACAGCACATTTTCTCCTTGTCTATCCTATGTATTTCACTACCTACCCAGCCCAGAAATAGAACCTAGGCCTCCTATTCATTCATGTATTTCACAGCACTTTCTCTGCAGTTCACCTCATGAAAAATTTCAGGGAATATTGTAACCAAAGCAATAACATTTTTTTTCCTTTACTTTTGTTTTCATTTTTTTTTTCTTTTGGGGGAGTGGGTGGGAAGGAGGGAAAAGAAGGCTTCGAATCTAAAGCTATTCAATGGGTGATCAGAAATTATCTGATGCAAATCCCAAAGTTTTCCATTTCCATTAAAACAAATACTTAATCATATCAATAAATAGAGAAAAGCCACAATTTGGGGCCCAATCCTTCTATCTTTAGCATAAGCTTCAATTGCCTCGCAGTGGTCCAAATCAAACAATACAAGCTTCCCATATCTATAGTTTCTTTTTATCAATGTCCTATATCTGTTCTTTCCATCGAAATTTCCAAGACAAAAACAATCTTCAGTCAGAGTTAAACCTTCTTAGCTACTAAATACCTATAAAACCAAAATTCAGGAACCCAAATAAAATTATACGCAAGCAAACTAGAAAAGAGTAATTCTCAAAACCAAAACAGCAAAATACTACATGCCGTTAATTCATATTCTCGGTCTAATTCATGAGAAACCTATTTGCATAGTCAGGCTCAACATTTCATCAGCACGTCAGGAGTCCAAAGAAGAGGGAACAGACCTTGAAGCTTTAAAGAGATGACTCCATCTTCGACGGAGACGACGTCAACGTTGCCTCCATCGGAAATTAGGTAAGGCCGAACATCCTCGAGAACCAAGTCCACGTTCTGTGCTGTGAGTTCAAATGTCTGGGCGGAATACAAGCCAGGAGAAGAACCAGTTGCTTTTGTTTCGGGAGCTTTAGAGGCCTTGATGGCATAACTGAAGAATACCCGTCTTATGAAAACTATTCTAGGTCCTCGAACATAACTTAATGGCGGATAGAAAGGGGATTTAAGGATCTGCCTACGGAGAAAACAAGGATTTTTTGCCAACCCAGCAGCAGTTAGAGACGCCGCCATTTTCCTTCTTCCCAGACCGGTGGAACCCGTATCCGCTGCAATTGCATACAGACTTGACGGAATTATATAAGATACAGGGGTAAATTTGGCAATTTAGAAAATTTCAGCGTTCCGTTCTATATGTGGTGGGGAGATGACAGTTTGGCTTTGAGAGCTTGAGACGGAGACTCGGAGAGCAGTCCGGTTTATAGGTGTAAATCGGGGCTTCAGCCCGTTGGCCCAAGAACTAGCTGTTTTAGCTTTTTTGGGTTTTTTTTTTTTTTTTACAAAATTACCTTCCCAACAGCTATAAACAGCTATATAAGGGGTATTTATGTATTTTAGTTATGGAGAACAAAAAATGACACAAATGCCCCCAACAGCCACATAACAGAGTTTAGGGGGACATTTTAGGTAAAGTGATAAATAAATTTACAATGACCAAAATACCTCTCTCAATAACTAAAAAATGGCTAGTTTTTTAGGATATTTTGGGTAATTGAATTATTTTCAATTCCTATAAATAGCCCTATCCTTCACCATTCTCATCACACCAATTCAACAATTCTCTTAATCTCTTCTCTAGTTCTCATACTTTCTCAAGTTTCAATCTCACAATCTCTCAAATTCTCAATCTCTCATACATTCTCTGAACTCGGATTGGTTGATTCTCAAATTCTCAACTGTATTGAAGTTTCAACAAGAAAAAGCCTTGCTCAACTAGCTCAAGTATCTTAAGTTAGCAATTTGGGAGGCTTTGACTCATGGAGTTGAAAGACTTCAACCGTTGAAATCAAGTTGTGATTCCGAACCAACAATCCGAGTAAGTCCAATTAAATTAATTTTTATTTTTTTAGAATTAAAAAAAAAATGTCGGCTCCTCTTGAAACCAATTCCTCAATATGTTTAATGCCGACGATATTTCAGTCGTAGCATGATAGTGTTAGCATCAATATGGATGCTATTGATATTGATGGAACTTCCACCCCTAGTACTGATACTAGGGGAAAGAAAAAGAGAGCATGTAAGTTGATTAGCTCAGTTTGGAAAATATTTAAAGTAGAGGAGGTTGAGGGGAAGGAAAAAAGAGCTGTTGGACAAAAATGTAGAAAAGACTTTAGTTATTGTAGCAAGGGTGGTACTAGCCATTTGGGCAGACATTTGGTCACCCATGAGAAAGAAGAAGAAGAAGAAGAACGGAGGGAAACAACACAAACACAAATTGGGCGGAGGGGTTTTGATACATTTAAATATTCTCAAGAAAAAATGAGGCAAAAATTAGCAAAATATATTGTACATACTGAACAACCATTTTTGTTAGCTGAAGATACTAAACTTGAAAAATGGTTACTTGATTCTGTAAATCCACAATTTAAAAAAATTTTTAGGAATAATATTAGATTAGATGCTTTAAAATTTTTTTATTCATATAAACAAAATTTAATTTATATGTTATCAAATCTTAATTCTAAAATTGCAATTACTTCTAATGTTTGGACTTCTAAATTTAACATAAGCTATATTTGTGTTACTTGTCATTTTATTTATGAAAATTGGCTTTTAAATAAACGAATTTTAAGTTTTACTAGGCTTGAATGGCCACATACTGGCAAGGTTTTAAATTTCGTAACGTATCGGCCCATACAAGTTGATACGTATCATTTCGAAAGAGTTACGATACATGGAACATGTCTAATTAAATGGATTCGTATTTTCTCGTCCGTATCGAACCGATACAGGTCCGTACCGGCCTTGTATCGGTTCGTTTCGGGTATGTATCAGCCGATACAATTCAAAACATGTCAATACATACCCAAAATGGGCCGATATGCATTAAAAATCACAAACCAAAGGTAAGAAGTTTTGAACCCAAGTCATTTGCTTGCAATACTAACTAATTAACCATTATGCCAACCTCAATTACTTATTAGAATAACATGCTTTTTTATACTTAAATTAATCTTTCTTGCCTTGGTGGATGTTTCACAACAAATGCTATAAATTTGATTATTAATATTTATATAATAATAAGATGGATACAAGTTAAATTTATTTATTAAAAATTAAGGAATATATTAACTTGTATACACAATAAATATCATCTAAATCTATATATAATAAATATTAACTAATAAATGACTTCAAAAAAATATTAACTAATAAATATTAGT